TGAATTGGCAATCCAATTCCTTGAAGATGCCTGCGATGCTATGGAAGTACTGCAACTTGTTGTAGAAATGCAACCAACGATGGACCATCTCGGAGAAATTGGACATCCACTACTGCTCAAGTCTGTTCGCTACCTTTAGCTTATGTGTAGAGCTGACTTGAAACCAGATTCATGTCAACTCCGATGGGCTTCCGTTACTTGTACAGCGCAGGTTACATCGACAGGGAGATGGACATGTGGTTTCACGTCTGTGTTTTCCCTGACTTATAAAACTTCTCTGACCGTCACCTATCCAGGACCGTAACATCTACTACGTCGTAGAGGTGGAAATCTTCCTGTCTAAGGTCTTCAGCTCAGAGGCCGCAGAAGATGACGAAGATGTCTTGTATGTATCATTCTCCAATGCAGCCGCAGTGTGACTAAATTGACCTCAGGGCCTTCGACGGGGTCGTCCCACCCCACTTCTATGGAGAAATGTCGAAAACTGAACTTGGCTGTCAAGTTCTTAGTGAAAAGGGCCATTTCTCTGAGTTCTCTCATTTCATAAAACAGCACGGTCTTGAGAGCGAGGATCTTGAATTGATTCTCAAACTAAAGAGCATCCTGTGGGCAGTGGTGCGTTGTCTTCGCTGGTGGACGTTCAAATAGAATTATTGATAGTACCGTAGGGGAATGTCGGGGCCACCGAGGGCGGCCTCCCGTTTCTGGAAGAGGAAGAGATAATTCCTGCTATATTAGAGATTGCTGGACACTCTCTTATTCCCTCGGTGCGAGGGTAAGTACTTCGCTAAGTGCTCGACTCTTTGCATTGAACACAATTCTAGGACGTGTTTCTTCGTTCTTGGGTTGATCTCCTCAACATCACAAGGAGCTGAAATCCTAGATGATTATCGGTGGGAGGCAACCTTGTCGCCACTTGGGGTGCCGACCGGGTTGTGCATACCTCTGGATCTGGATAAATTTATCTCAGTGAAGTACTAGAGTTATCTATACCGTACTGTGGATCTGATGCTTTCCAGTTACCTGCGTGGGATCCCGTTGGGATAAAGAGGGACGGCGATTCTCGGCTCATACCGCCAACATCCCACACGGATTTGGAGGTAATATCTGCAATAGAGAACCTGAGCAACACCGTGATTGCCAACGCTGCATCAAGATCACTTGCCAGGTAAACTATATCAATGGTTCTACGCTATTCCATAATTTCTCAACAACCATCCCAGGATGAAGTCTCGACCTGAATATCGATCAGCATTCTCGTCACCCTCTGTGTTTTTCCGCGCTCTGCATGCTATTTCGACGCAACGGTACCGTTTACCAGTAAGGAGATATATATTTGATCTCTTTACCGCCGAGTTGGACGGTGAACTGGCCCTGGAGCTCTCCGCATGCGCTAATTCCCTTCGCGCACCGCCAATGTTCAAACAATCCGAAGCACATATTAATCGAGTAGTGAGCATGTTCGGGTTGAAGCATACCAGAGGAGCCTCCGAGAGCGATGATGAAGATGATGATATGGATGATACTGTTGATGAAATGGTGAATGACAGAAATCCTGTGATAATCACGCTCCGTCCAGTGAGCAGGATCATTGGCTTTGACAAGTGATCTGATTTGTAGCGGGCATTATTGACGATATTTGACTTCATATCCTGGACATTGCAATCTTGGCTGTTGCGCTTGTATCATATATACCACCATTCCCATCGAACCACCCCTCCAGCACAAAACCTGTTGCACTGGAGTCTGAGGCGAAACAAGTGCTTGGTTATAGTGAATCGACAGTGGAGACCTAAAATGCTAATCAAATATGTACAGTCATTGTCCAACTGCATCAGCATGTCAGTAGCATTTTCGCTATCCAAGTTTAACGTTCGCGAGCAATGCGGCTGCATCCTCCTTTGCTTTCGTGCAAGTGCCGTTGTCAGCGCCGGAATAATAAACCGCAGTGTTCTGTTCGCTCCATCACGAAATTAACGTGTTCCCTATCTTCCAAGTCTTATTAGTCACATCAGGGTTTGAACATCAAACTTACCCGTGTCCATGTCGATTTTTTTTATAAATTTGCAGACTCATCAATGGTTTTGCACCAGGCCGCGCTTCTATATATAGTTCCCACATGCTACAAGCATCTAAAAGAGTCGAGTTACCGACAACGAGTTCGAAAGTTGTTCTGAACAACTCGGATTGGGTATAGCTCAGGGCATGCGTTCGTAAATGTCGTTTTGGCTCAACCGAGAGAAAAGTACCGCTCTGGGACTGCATCAGCAAAAAACCTTGAAATTTCGCTTGTCAGAAAGAAGTTTGATGCTTACGGTGAGCTTACGGCCTGGTGATCGGAGCAACGCGATTGGTGGAACAAACTTTTCCATTGTACACCGTAAATACTCGATATTGATAGTGTTATAATTTTTAAACGGGTGTATGTATTGCATTATATGTTATTATATTGAGATTGAGTTGAAATACTAGTCTAGGGTTCGGAATTGCATTTCCAAACACCGAGTAGGGTCATTTGTATTAATCATTGGGCCATTCAGAAAGTTCAGAATCACAGCAATCGATTGACATGCATTCAAATCTGCGCTACTAATAGTATTAACGATCAATACTACGCGAACTCTGTACTAAATGTATGATAACTTTCTTTATCTGCAAAGTTATTCAAAAAAAACCGGTCATAGGACTCCAAACACGTCGTCGCAGAAATGTCCTTGTTGACCTTCTCACCGTATTCTGGTATCAGTTCGACAGCATGTGTAACATCCGTCAACAACACCGCACCACCACGCCTATAGCGTTTGCCATGTTGGTCCACCACATATGACTGCTCTACTGTCCACATCGCGAGTTTGGGACGGTCGTTGGGATTGGCGATGAAGTCAAAATATTGTATGTAGAGGAGTGGACTGGAAAGATATATTGGAAGAACCAGGTTGGAAGCACATGGAACCTTGGGCTGAAAAATAAGTCGAACTTGGTAGTGATGCCGCAGTCCGGTTCTGAACTTCGGTTCGGACCTGAACCCTCCCGGACCGGACCGTGGGTTCGGTCCTGGGTTCGAAATAGTATAAGGACCGAACTGATTATTAAGTTCAGCGTTCGGCTGCTGCCTGAATACTGTGAACCCGTTCGAACCCGTTCGAACCCGTCTGAACGTGTTCTCATATTCTTTGCATGATCCACCAATATATCTGCTCTGATCTTCTGGCAACCGGCATGTCGATCGATCTCGGGACAATCAATAGCGGATCGGACTTCGCAGCCAAAACACCCAACACATTTCCATTGGCGAGATCTGACTTCCCTGGTAATCTACTCGATGTTCTGGTAAGAAGTGAACTATTTAATATCGTGATTTATATATATTGATGTCTACTATTCAGCTGTATGGAGCACGCCTTGCACTTAGCTGCGAAACACTTTGTCGAGGAGGTCGCACCCACACCAGCAAGCGTGCTCCTCAAGAACATGGCCGATGAAGATGACGATGATGAAACGACTGATTTCGAGGTTGCCGACACCGCAGGAAAAGCCCTCGCACTTGTTACGCAGATTCGGAAATCTCCCCAAGCACGCACTTTTTTTCAACAGTGTTGTGTCGAGGTCAATGAGCCGAAGCTTGAGCTTTTGAAATGGATTCGCACGCGATGGGCCTCACTCTTTGGTATGTTGGAGCGCACCCTTAAGCTACGCAAAGTAAGTTGGTTTCTATCCCTATGCCCAATACTAACTCAATTTGATCTGCCGCAGGGGGTGAATAGATTCATACAACTGGCGGATGACAGTGACGAAGTCCCAAACTTGCAGGGCAAGTCATATGGAGCATTCAAGCTTTCAGCCGAAGAATGGAAGAAGTTGGAATTGATGCACGACGTGCTTCAGGTATGTGCGAGTGTCCAGTCGAGTCTCAAATGTTGTATTAACCTACTGTATAACCAGGAACCTGCCAATGCACAACAATCGTTTTCGGCGACTCGTGAACCTACTGTATGGCGCGCAATTCCAGTCCTCGAGTATCTCCAACAAACTTGGCAAAACATGGCTAGTTCTTCGAAGTTTGACGACTTTTCATCCGCAATCAACTCTGGCCTCGACAATATTCGCAAATGGTACCACAAGATTGACGAAACTGATGTTTATTTTGTTTGCCTCGGTATGTGTTTTATTTACTATGATGCCCTATCTAATGCACAATGTAGCGCTTGATCCTAACTATAAGGTGGCATATGCGAAGGGTAAATGGGAGCCTCACGACTTCGACGAGGGCATGAGAAGCTTGCGGAAGGTTTTTGACAAATATTATCATCACAACTCCTCGCCCGCTGCTGCAGAGCCGTCTATTGCAGCTCCTGCCTCGCTTGCTCGCCATGGGTCATACGGCCATAGCTGGATGCGCGATGCTGTCAAAACTCGTGTCGCAAATGACACCGCAAATCGAAGACCTCGCCAGGAGCTTGACGACTACCTTGCTGCCCCATTAGAGGATGTTGAGAATATAGTGGCGTGGTGGGGTGTGAGTTTTTTCGCATCGCATTTCCTTGCAAGTTGACTCATTATGCCTTTAGCACCATTCCGTTCAATATCCCACCATCTCACGCATTGCAAAGGATTACCTCGCTATTCAAGGCTCTGCCGTTGCATCTGAACGAGCCTTTTCGAGTGGCGGCATCACTGGGACTGCGCGCCGTAATCGTTTGTTGCCAACAACATTCGAGGCCCTTCAGTTATTGAAGAGTGGGTACCGTCAAGGCCACATTTCTGCAACGGTTCAAGCTGAGTTTGCTGCTGCTCACGAACACTATGCCATGGACGAAATTTAGCTACTCATTTACGGTTCATGTATTTCTTGCAATTTTTGTCAAATTATATGTAGCGTTCGAGCGTTCGAACGCGTTCTGAACTTGAACCGAACGCTTGTGAACGCGTTCATAAGGGTCCGGTCCAGCGTTCGCCCTCCTTGCCTGAACGCGACCGATGGTCCAGTTCGGCGTTCGCATTTAGAGGCCTAAGAACCGAACCGAACCGGACTTCGGCACCACTAGAACTTGGGCGACGTGACTTGCTGAATATCACCTCGTTAGTGTTAGAATATGACAGCAAAAAATATACGTACTAATTTGGCCATCATCACTCGTAAAATCGACAAGGACGGTATCACAGTTCCCGAGGGGAAATAGGTCGCTGGGAGGGTATGATTGGATCACTCTGCTTGGCATGATCACTCGAGGTTGGAAGGCAGAGTGAAGTTGCAATCGAAATTTGTTCCATGCGTAAAAGCGTCCATGTCTGTGGTCCCAGCGAGTATTCTTGCCACTGGAGAGGGAAGAACACTGGATGAACTGGGAGACTGCGTGATCAAAATCAATGAGTGCATATTTGGTGAGAATATCGACGGGCGACAGGGACTTGAGATCTGGTGTTGAAGTTAAATGGAAGGCAGTGAGAGCGTCTCCAGAAAGAATGCCCTTGTGAAAATGATTACGGACTCGTCGAGGTCCATGGACAGAATATGCTTCATCAGGGAGTATACGAGAAATCCAGGAGAGTGCTGGGTTGACGGTTGTCACTTCCTCATCTTCAAGGTTTATGGCGTTGACGAGCGATGCGCCATGGGAAGTGATTAGTGCGTACAGGTTGAACAATTCCATTGACTCCTGCCGATTGAGAATCTGTACGCACTGCTCCGTGAAATCATTCACTCGTCGACTTGTTCGGGCAAAGAGATCCTTGCAGTGAGTGATGAGCAAGCGCTCCGTCATGTCGGCTGAAAACTGCATCAAAGTACCCAGTCTCTCAATCGTGCCTCTGAAGCTTTGGAGTGACTCGAGCTTGGGGATGAAAAAGTCTTCTTTGGCGCCCTTCTTCCCCCTCCTCGCCTCGGCCTCGACGATAGCATCCTTGAATGCATGAAAATCGGAGAGTGCCTGCACCATCGACTGTAAGGATTCGGGAGAATGGACTGAATTTTGAGCATAATAGAAAAAGTCTATGAGAGCGCGGATTGCGCGAACGAATCTAGGTGGAGCAGCACCTGAGATTGAAGCAACAATGGTGCGTTGAATATCACGATGCTCATGCCCAGTCATTTGGTTGACGTGCGTAATGCCTTTAGTAAAGTGGTGTGTCCCTACCCGTTTGTGCTGAGTGATGAAGCGGGTGTCGAGCTTGGTTTTTCCTACTATCTCCTTGATCCATTTGAGTGGATGATCTGCAAAAAACTTATGAAGGGTATGTAAAACTTCGCCAGGGAGAAAGACGGATGGACACGAAAACGACCAATCAAGCCAATATGGCATGTGGACCCCAGACAGATGGGCAGCTTTTGCTGCCTTCTGAAATTTGTCGAGATCCCAAGGATCAATCTCTTTGGCGATCTCGTGTATAAGTTGTAGTGTGTGCTTCCCAGTGCGAGGAGGATAGAGAATTCCGTCACCGAATTTGTCTTGTGTCGCCATAGTGATTGGAGAGACATTCTTGCTGACTGCAGCGATCATGGAGGCCTCGGGAAGGTCACATACATGGGCGATGAGTGGTGTAAAGACATATCGAATATGTCGGGAAGGATCAGGCATAAAACAGCCATCACTCGCTGCAACCTTCAGGTTGGCGCAGACAAGATCAACGCACTTATGCCATAGCCGCGCCTGAAGAATGGTCTGATAGTCGGAATGCACACGAAACTTGCTAACAGGCATGTAGGCGATACAGCGCCAAGCTCGCAGGGTGGCCTTGGAGCGAACCTCTGAATCAATGTTACCGATGGTGATGAAAAGTGGGTGCATCTCGAGCCCTCCAGTAATCCGCGTGACAGGAGTCTTATCGGATCCCAGGATGATAGGTACTTGCGTAGCACCTACTGGCAGATAGTCCTAGGTATATAGAATTAACTTCAAGTAGTAGACTTAAAGGGCCAAACTAACCTGGATTTTCCATGTCATATTGGCACTCATATAATCTCCATACTCACGTTGACTTCCTGTATTGACTACGTGTGGCTGGAAGGTAATGTGATTGGCGAAAACCGGATCGCTGAAAAGTTGTTTGACAACCTCTAGAGCATCGCGCCAAATAAGTTGCACGGGATAAGTCGTCTTGTAGCCCGTAAACTCTAGGTTCGAAACTTTCCATGGAACAAAGGAGGGTAGTGCATCGGTCCAATCTAGAAGTTGCTCCTTGGAGGTGAAGGATGGTTTTGCGCGAGTGTGAAACTGGAAACAACGGAGTCAGGCCTGTCGAGCAGCACTCAAAGTCTCTCCTACCCATTTTAACTTTAAAAACTTGTCAATCTGAGCTTGAGTTAAGTTTTCAACCAAGAACTTCGCCAACTCCCATTCTCCTTCATCATGGAAAGGGTAATACGTATTTATTTCTCGCCGATAATTATACTGATCGTCTTGCAGCCTGTCAAACAGGTTCTTGCCAACACCAAAGACATATCCCGAGTGCGGATGACAATAACCAGTAGTGGTAGAAGGTTTTGACGATTGGGAACCTTGCAACCCAGGGGGAACAGGGAATTGATGTGGACGTTCCTCGTGTGGCCAACAGGTAGACTGAGAATTCAAGTGCAGGGTAATGGCCTCGATTGTAGGAAACTCTTTACTGCAGTTGGGACAAAACCTGGTACAGGTATGTCCATTGATCATCAGCACTATTGAGTGACAATGATAGTATACGCACATTTGCTGCCCTTTGCTGAGTGCTAGGCGTTACGCAGTGCACAAATCGATTCAGTCTTTTAGACTCCGCCGGCTGATGTCAACCTTGTGATAATCCAACAGGTCGCTTCATATAATTGCAGATTTCCCAGTTAGCCTTCCGCAGGTTCTCCCAAGTCCACCCTTTGTACATGATGATTCATACAGTCTCTTCTCCACAAGTCAGTTCCTCCCCCATTTCTCGAGGCGGTAGTTGCCCTCCTCCATCAAGCAGTCCTCCATCTTCACCTCTGTCAGGCGGATGTGCTACCACTCCTGGATCATCTCTTTTTGATTCCAGTCTCAAGTCAGAAAGCTCTCCCAATACGAGGCATTCTGACATATGTGCTTCACTAAGAAGCATATCCTCACTGTCAAAGACGCCTCAGATTGCAGCTGCCAAATCGGAGACGGACAGCCTATTCTATAATCCGTCTACACCTCCAAATCCTGCACGCGCTTCTCGACGTGGCTTTATCTGCGAGAGAATGAGCAACAAGTTCATTCCGTACCCCCCCTCTCCGGCTCCAATTGAGGTCCGTTATGCAGCTCGTGTCACCGGGCGAGAATGCAAACCATACGTATCCTCTGACTCACTTCTCGAGGTATCGTGTATTTCTTTTATTTAATTGTAGAGACTAAATTATTGAAAGCATGCCGGAACATTGGAAAATGGCCTCACACAAATGCGTCCTGCAACCTTGTACAAAGGGTATCAAGCAAAGCTTGCTGCTCGTGAGACTGCACGCCAGCACATGTTGGTGACCGCATGGGAAATCGAGGAAACCAAGCGCTTCCTTGAGTTCCTGGATGCTCTGCATGTCGACAACGAAGAACGGCTCAGATTCGCTCAAGAAGACTTAAACATCTTTAGGAAGCTATTTTCTGAGCGTGACCGTTCTGATGTCAATGACGACAGAGATTACCTTCAAGCTGTCTACGAGGATGAAATGGAGATTCTTCGTGTTGTCTCGCTACAAGCTGAGCAGTTCTCAAAGATCTTAGGTGCACGTGTCAAGAAGGATTTCTTGCAACCTGGAGCCAAAGGATCGGGATCACCATCGCCTGAGCCTGGGGTTTCGATTAGAGATAATCTGGTATCCGCAGATCAGGAAGATAACTCACAGGTTTCGGTCAATTCGGCAGCACAGTCCGCACACCCTTCCCATACGCCGTTATTTGTATGAGCCCTGCGCTTCCAATTGAGGTATGTATACACGTGTCCGGTCATTATGCGCTCGACTGATCAATCGATAAGAACGCATTGTAACATGCATGCTACAGTTTAGCAAATCCATCATGGCCCCTTTCTCATTTGTATTCATTTTTCACATCTGCAGCTGTTCTTTTTACATCGTGCCCCTTCATTTTAACCCTTATCCTGTTCACAGCCCCATGTCACAAGACGTGTAGTTTATTTGGGTGTTGTTTGTGTACAGTCGCTTCTCGTAGAATTCAAATTGGACTGCTCTCTGCGCCCATGCATCCTCAACTCCCTCTACTTTATGGCCAGCAAACGTGCACCACCCCGCAAAGGTAAGACTAACTTTGCAAAACCTGCGCGTGGTTCGGGCCTCAACCCATCTCATGCTCCCGCGGACAGTCAATTGAATTTCGTCGATGAGCAACCGCATGAACTGATGTCTTTTTTTAACCCTCACGCCTCAAATCAGCCGCTGCCATTCAATCCTCACACTACCCACCATCCGCACCATCCACAGGACTCCGCGCACCATCAGCACACGTCCGCTCCCCACCAGCGTGAGTCTGCCTACGATCAGCATGAAGACTTCGCCCAGCATCAGCAAGAAGATCTCGCCCATCATCATCAGGATTTCACCCAGCATCAGCATCAGTCCACTCCCTACCAGCGCGAGCCAGCTTACCAGCATGAAGATCTCGTGCACTATCAGCATCAGGACTTTGTGCCTTCTCAGCAGGACTTTGCGCCTCCTCAGCAGGACTTTGTGCCTCCTCAGCAGGACTTTGCACCTCCTCAGCAGGACTTTGTGTATCCTCAGCAGGACTTTGTGTATCCTCAGCAGGACTTCGCGTCTGGCGCTGGATCCTCGACTGGATATGTTGCTCCGTCATTAGGTAAGTCTGCCTGCGCTCATAACATATGTCTAGCACTTACCCTTCCACCATAGCGCCCAGTTGGGTCGGCGATGATGAGGAATTTCAGACTCATTCAGTCCCACCACCGGATCTCCACCACTTACGGCCAATGTCGACGGGAGAGATCCCTAACTCCCATGTGATACATGTAAGTCAATGTTAGTATCTGCATCATCGAAAATTGACCTGACATTACTAGACTACAGGGCCTGCAAGGACATCGAAAGCACGTCGTCGTGCAACTCGACGTCTGCCCCCCACACCACGCCTTGTCATTCCTGTTGTGACGCCCACAACGATGACAGGGACTGTCGCACCTCTGGAATCCATCGAAGGTTCTGCCATTGACATTAGTCCCGAGACGTGCAAACAAGCGATCTCGGCCTCGAAGGAACACGTATTATCCATCGTCTTTTCCGATGATGCACTGGTATCTCTCGTGGCTGACAAAAAGTGCATCGTCAAAAAGGTCATTTCCGAAGTAAGATCTAGAATACCAGCCCTTCTCGGTATGAATTAACATGCGAACACTGACTTATACTAACTATTTGATCCTACTAGTTGCAACACAATGGACGGCTAACGAAAAGGACGTCGCGAACATTTGGTGCGCAGTGATGAAATTTCGCACTGCATTCGCAACAATCATCCGACAAGCTGTCGTGATGGGATATTCCCTCTTCCCACCACAGGGCTGTACTATCCCCCCAGATACTTTTCGTGTCGATCGGATACGCTGCCTCATCGTAGATAACAACTTAGCATTCATGCATCAATACACTTTTGCAGTAAGTCTTTATTTATTTTCGAGAACATTTTTTTAATCTATTTCGACAGGACGGTGCACTTGTCATTCACTCGAAATTCACCAACCCATTCATCCTTCATGTCCTAACGAAACTCATTTGGTGTTTGCCCTTCCGGCTCCACACTTTTCTTGACGAATGCCCACGCCGTCAAATACGTTACGCTATTGGCGCAGCCGGCGCCATTACAGAGTCTGCATTGATGGAGCAGGGCTTGATACAACTTACAAAGGGTAGGATTACCCCCCAGATGACGCATTCAACATTCACGAAGATTGTTCTGGGCCTGGATCAGCTAAGTGACACTGAAAAGGTTATTTTAGACGACTTCACAGACAGCATCGTCGTTTGCGGGCGCTCGCAACAGCAAGCCAACGACGAACTATCTGATTTTGATTTTGAATAGATACATCATGTATACCGATAATATATTCACATTAGCTAATAGTTGTATCTCACTCATGAAAATTTCGATGCTATTTTACATATTTGTATCGTGTCCGATTCAAAAAACTAACATTTTACTACAACGGCACATCTAAAAGAGTCGAGTTACCGACAATGAGTTCGAAAGTTGTTCTGAACAACTCGGATTGGGTATAGCTCAGGGCATGCGTTCGTAAATGTCGTCTTGGCTCAACCGAGAGAAAAGTACCGCTCTGGGACTGCCGTTGTAGTAAAATGTTAGTTTTTTGAATCGGACACGATACAAATATGTAAAATAGCATCGAAATTTTCATGAGTGAGATACAACTATTAGCTAATGTGAATATATTATCGGTATACATGATGTATCTATTCAAAATCAAAATCAGATAGTTCGTCGTTGGCTTGCTGTTGCGAGCGCCCGCAAACGACGATGCTGTCTGTGAAGTCGTCTAAAATAACCTTTTCAGTGTCACTTAGCTGATCCAGGCCCAGAACAATCTTCGTGAATGTTGAATGCGTCATCTGGGGGGTAATCCTACCCTTTGTAAGTTGTATCAAGCCCTGCTCCATCAATGCAGACTCTGTAATGGCGCCGGCTGCGCCAATAGCGTAACGTATTTGACGGCGTGGGCATTCGTCAAGAAAAGTGTGGAGCCGGAAGGGCAAACACCAAATGAGTTTCGTTAGGACATGAAGGATGAATGGGTTGGTGAATTTCGAGTGAATGACAAGTGCACCGTCCTGTCGAAATAGATTAAAAAAATGTTCTCGAAAATAAATAAAGACTTACTGCAAAAGTGTATTGATGCATGAATGCTAAGTTGTTATCTACGATGAGGCAGCGTATCCGATCGACACGAAAAGTATCTGGGGGGATAGTACAGCCCTGTGGTGGGAAGAGGGAATATCCCATCACGACAGCTTGTCGGATGATTGTTGCGAATGCAGTGCGAAATTTCATCACTGCGCACCAAATGTTCGCGACGTCCTTTTCGTTAGCCGTCCATTGTGTTGCAACTAGTAGGATCAAATAGTTAGTATAAGTCAGTGTTCGCATGTTAATTCATACCGAGAAGGGCTGGTATTCTAGATCTTACTTCGGAAATGACCTTTTTGACGATGCACTTTTTGTCAGCCACGAGAGATACCAGTGCATCATCGGAAAAGACGATGGATAATACGTGTTCCTTCGAGGCCGAGATCGCTTGTTTGCACGTCTCGGGACTAATGTCAATGGCAGAACCTTCGATGGATTCCAGAGGTGCGACAGTCCCTGTCATCGTTGTGGGCGTCACAACAGGAATGACAAGGCGTGGTGTGGGGGGCAGACGTCGAGTTGCACGACGACGTGCTTTCGATGTCCTTGCAGGCCCTGTAGTCTAGTAATGTCAGGTCAATTTTCGATGATGCAGATACTAACATTGACTTACATGTATCACATGGGAGTTAGGGATCTCTCCCGTCGACATTGGCCGTAAGTGGTGGAGATCCGGTGGTGGGACTGAATGAGTCTGAAATTCCTCATCATCGCCGACCCAACTGGGCGCTATGGTGGAAGGGTAAGTGCTAGACATATGTTATGAGCGCAG